ACCCTCTGCCTGCCGGGGGCGTAGCAGCACAACGAAGGCTGACGAAGACCGACGGAGCGTCGACGAAATACCAGTCAGCAGCGGAATCGCTACCCGTTCTAAACGGAGGAGACAGAGTGATGCCATTATTCTGGCAGACTTGCAGGACAAAGAAACGAAAACTTACAGCATTTCTTTTACTTCGATGTATCAGCAGACGAATGATGACATGCCCTGTCCCGTTATTTCAGCCTTATCCATTATTCTCCGTTTATTTCTTTGTATAATAACACGCATGCCTCCGTAGTAAGGAATCGCCCACCGATCGAAGCATTTACAGCTAGTCAAAACAGTGATTGTTCACTCTGTACGCTTTCTGTCACTCATCAGTTCATTAACGTAATGGAGAGTAACATTTTTTCTTTGTATCTCTCGTTGATTGTGGGATAGTTGTGAGGATTTTGATGGCTTGGAATACCTCTGAGCAATCATATTCGCATCAGTTAAAGACAGACTGATGTAATACATTCTTGTATTCGGACCAACAGAGGTCAGCCATGCAAAAATGTACGTCTTAACGATGTTATGTAAGTCGCAGAAGATTAATTAGTTGGATAAGGTTATAAACATACAGCTGGGACAGGAAACAGGTAGACTCAGGGGATGAAAAAAATACTTGCCACCTGTTGCAGCAGTACAGCAACTCTGAGAGTCGATACGATGCTATGAACATTTTCACACCCCCTAGGGAGGAACGTCAATACTTCTGATTCATGCCATGACTTCCATAGTAAATTGCTGCGCAAATGACGAAATATCGCTAAGACTGGAAGATAGCTAATCTTTCTCATTTTCCTACGCTCGAACAGGCGGTCGCCGAATTTGATAATGAATATATGCGACAGAAGAATGCCAACGATAGTTAATACCTTTCGGCAGTAGTAAAATATGATGCGCTGAATCCTTTCCAATTTAGCATCAGCTGCTATTTTAAACATATATCTTGGAAAATGCCATATTACAACGCAGAATGAAACAGATCTAGAATTAGCAACAAGTCGAAGCCCACCATCCAATTTTTTTCACCATAGGTTCTTAATGTACTTCAGGGTCCTGCACCCTCTCACATTATCCTTTAGCATGGTTACGATTCATCCTCGACAGCTACAATGAATATGACTGTCGATGAGCAAACTAAATGTGAAACTTAATGATAGTAGCCGCAGCACTGGTTAACTTCGTCATTAATAGACTGTCAATGTCCACACAAGGCTATCGCTTTCTCTTTAATCAAACGTTTACGGCACGAGTTCATTGCAGATATTTACCACTATCGTTGGGATGTCAATTTTCCGGGCACCTCCGTGACGAGGTCGTTTACTGCAATCCCTTGTCAAAGAGGTAATGGTTCTGATACATCTGTATGTTACCATACAGAACTGCCTTAGTTGTAAGGGCACTTTGTGTTGTCAGGTGTCAAGCACAACATGTGGCATCTTGTTTCCTTCTCAATATCCACCTGAGAAAGATGAAAGAAAGTAACACGGCAGAGCACGGTGAACGAATCTGGCTTTCTAAAGGTCGAATCGGTTGTCTAACGCTACAATGTTATACTATTTTCAGCTAATGTTCATGCGAACTACACTAATGCGCTAGTTCAGTATGTGCTGAACGCTGCCAATGCGCTGCCATTCCTTGAGTTATTCATAATGACCGTTAGGTTTGCTGGTCAGTCGGTCTGGGTATTCATGCGGTTTTGTGTCGAACCGACGATCGAATTACTTCCTCGGTTCGATTTCCGACAGGGGAGACTAGTGGCTAACTTTTGAATTTCAAAAGATTGGCAACAAAGTACCGATACGTTACAATGTGAGGAAACAGCATGCCTCACGTGGCGGAAAGATAGAAGTGGCAAACCACTGACTGTTTAATAAAGGAACAGCAGAGTCTGATGTTTTTGAAAAAACTAAAACAGCAATACACCGTAATAATACTAATACATTTGAACGATTAAACAATAAAAATAAAATGTTAAACACCATGAAAGCGGAGTGTGATACTATTGCGAATGCCACCAAAATAAGCACGACTTTGACATATATTTAGGCAGTCTCGCCGCTTCGTGACAGTTTGCCCACTCAGTGGTAGCATTTACCTCGTGTTTTGCTGCGTGTTCCATTTGGGGTGTGCGATTAACAAGACACGGTGCTTCTCTTGACGCAGCTTTGTCAATTCTCGCCTCCACTATCCTCATCGATGAACAAAATAAGCAACGCTCGGAACCAAGTATGTAACTCAGCGCGGCCAACCAAGTGGTGGGTGAATCACCGCCAGCGTTGCCAGCATGGACAAAGGAGGCGGACTGCAGTACTCGCGTGTGCGGTCCGTTGGCTGAGACTCTGATGAGGAGAGATAAGCGACCACGGCGAGATGAGAGCGCGACAAGTCGCCAGGCCGGCCGCTGGGCACCGCTCACGGCGTCAGTCCAGTCGTCGTTTCGTACACGACGGCGACATTCCAAGGCTAGATTTCGTTAGTGGTGTGGTCCGTCTTCGGAGTTGTCCGAAAGTTTTGTGTAAAGGGCTGGCAGAATCTCCTGTATTAAGCTGTACGCCACCAAGGTGAAAACGGAACAGGTTAGCAAATTGTTAAATCTGTGCTATTAGAGCAATGAGATAATTACGAGCAACATAGGGTTATATACGGCTCCGAGATACTTAGGTAGTCACTTGTTTCCTGGACTGCTGTGTTTGAGCGTCGTCTCCCGTCGCATCAGTTTCGAGACGGTGCTAAGCAGTCCGTAGCGGTAGGCGTTAGCATTATGTACACAGTTCCAGGTAGTCAATAGAGCTATTTTTCACTTTTAAGGTATGGTCTGCTTCTTTCGAATCATCGCCTTGTCTGGCTCCTCGTTTCTCAGAGTCAGTACGATCGCGGACTTGAACGATGACGAATTCACGTCGCATATTTTCCCGGGAAGCACCGTGTTTTGGCAGTCGTGAGAGCCAGCGCCAACGACTTTATTCGTTTCGCGACATATCGTCACCCCGTTGCCGTTTACCTCACTTTCATCGTGACTGAGCTGAATTAAACAGTGTCGTCTTGTGTTTCTTCGCTCATAAGTATGGACGTACGAAGCCTGCTCCCCTAACGTATCGTTTCCATCTGCATTGAGGTAGCGCCCTTATCACTGACAGATCCGTTATCGTAGAATTAACGGATGACTTTGCAACTAGTAGCTACTAGTTGGCTCACTGTTTCTTTTTTGTATAGACGCTGGCAGTCATCTTAAGGATTAGCGCGAATACATGTCACCTGCTGGACGTTTGCGGTGACAAGCGTCGTCCACGGCGATCGCAACGCGAGAGCCAGCGCCAACGACTGTCGTTTAGTAGCTTGTAACCTGCACAACTTAGTAACTTATCGCCCACTGTCGTGCATCACATTTTCACCATGACTTAACAGAACGAAACAACATCTCCCTTTCACCTCCATCATCCTGTTTTTGTCTGCGCTCAGAAAGCTTCCTTAATGTTGACCGCTTTGTTCTTACGGAAATGACAAATCTCTCTTAGCCCCGTAATCATGGTTTAATTTGTGTAATATTCATGATTTCGTGGAGTTTCTGGCAGACACCGCAGAGATTATCGGAAATAAATTCCATCAATTGAACTTATGTGCGGGCGCATGTCCGATTCAGTGCCTCGGACTCACCATCGATCGATAAGGTGAGAAAAGACTCTATCGAGAGCTCTACTTCTGGTTGTCCCTTAAGAAGGTAGCCAGGTTCATAATCATAGCATTTAACGGACGCTGTGCTGCTGTCGATGAAGTCAGGAGTTGTCCAGGACGGACATCAGCGCTATCCGCGGTGGCGGAAAGTATATTTTGGATAAAGTTGTTGTCGTTGGCGAAGCTGTATGCCTTCATCGCCTTATGCTATCGGGGCTTGAACGGTTCAGCAGCCGTGGTTTACTGCGCCTGCCTGTTAGAACTCGTGCCTCATTTTAATATTATTCAACGGCTAATGCGGTCAGTTTCATATTCCTCATCGCCAACAGCCTCTGCCTCAACGTCGCGTTGCACCCAGGTCTTGTATTTTCCTCCGCGCATCTCCAGCTAGTCGTGTTCCGTTCCTACACGAGCAGTTTCGACCAGATTTGCATTTTCTCCCGGCCGTTTAGACGAACGAATGTAATCGCCGATCTCTGAGTTCATCTGATCGTCATCCATGCTTGCTCTTGACTCGGTAGTACCATCGCAAGCTGAGAAAACTTCGCAGATGGCCTTACTGAAAGCTATCGAGACGAGCTTCATCGTAGAATTTTCTAGCATGTGTGCGAGCACGACGAATGCAGCTGTTTTCTAAATGGTGATCTTCGTAATTCGCCATTTTTACAGTTTTATACTTCCATAATTCATACAGATTGGTAAAATTCACTGATGTCAATGCAGTGCGCCTGTCTCTGCTAGAATTCTCGAACTGCAGAAGTCCCTCAATACTTTGTACTGTACTAACGTTCAACTTTTGTTGTTTTGCGTTGGTCACGTGTATGTGACGTTCCAAAAGGTGTATAGCCTCTGGTTATAGTACTTGAGTTAAGGAATTATGAGTTGCCAATTTCGTCAATATTGTCAGTGATATCCCACCTTTGAAGCATAGTTTTTTCCTTTAAATCATCCATTTGTGTCTTTTTGACGCGCCTCGCTTCTCAGGGTCAATACAATCACGGGATTACGGTGGCGAATTCATGTCGCACATTTACTGTGGGAAACGCGTCCTCTGGCGACCGCGAGAGCCAGCGCCAACCACTGTTCGTTTCTTCGCCCAATTGCTGTGCACGTTACTTTCACCATCACTGAACTGAATCAAACAGTCATCTTTTGCTTCGTCGCTTTTAGGGGCCCTACACTACCAACATACCGTTTCCTTCTGCACTGAGAAATCGCCCTTATTGTTGGCAGATTCATTCCCACAGGCTTAACGGATCTCTTTGCAGGTGGTAACCACTAACAGGCTAATCTTTTTTTCTGACTTCGTGCATATTCTGGCAGACATCTTAACGGCTATCTGGAATACATTCCACCTACTGGACTTAGCCGCCCATGTGTTCCTCGAAACGCCTCGATGTATTGCCTTTGGTTGCCTTCCTTGAGTTAAGTAGTGACTTGTTAAGTAGTGTGACGTCGGTGACCAGTGACTTGTTTCTAGCCGTCGAGATGTCATCTTGACAATGTATATATTTTTGTTTTGTGATGGTTTGTCTCGTCGCGGTAACATCGAATGCATTCCTTGGCGTGCAGTAGCGAGTCGCAACAGCCATTGTGATCGTCTTTCCTCATTTCGTGGCATCGTTGACACGTGCTGCTGTGTATCTCACTTTACGGCTGTTCGAGTGAATGAGACAGCCTCCATCTCAGCTCTTTCACCCAGGAACAGAGTACACTGACTTGAGTTAGCTCCCTCTGGGCCATCGTCCATTCTCCGTTTGCACTCAGAAAGCATTAAGCTTTAGGCAGATTTGCTTTCATAAAATTGGCGAACCTCCAAAAGCCCGAAAACCATCGCGTTTCTAGCCTATTGTTTCTGACTTAATAACAAACTCTTACGAGAATCTTATCGGCTCTGAGGAATACATTTCATCTACTGGATTTCACCGCACCGTTTTGTCAGATCGCCTGTCTCCCGCTATCCATTAAAGAGACGACGGCGAAACCCCACTGCGAATATCAGTCGTTTTGACATCTTTCTCCCTTTCCGACAGTAAAGCAGTTGTTTGTACGGTGGAATTTGTCCAACGTAGGCGAATAACCAAAATCTGCCTTCCTCTACCAAAAACAGAAAAGTATGACAAGTATGCAATGAAGCTATTCGTTCAAAGCATGACCGTCGGGGCAACTGGATTAAGTTAAAAGTAGTCCGCATTTGGTTCTGTATCTTGGGATGCCAGATATTTGCCATTCTTGTTTCGGATTCAGCGGCTGTCGCAACTCTCAGAGTTCGCATTATAAATTCTATACAATCAGCGAATAATATGTATTAAAAATCGACATGTATTCACAAACTTTAGGTCAAATTCTGAGTCTCTTCTACAAATTGTCTCTCGATAACGAAGTGCTGCCTTCTTTCAGAGAGTTAATGATCATGTGATTTTTTGCATCGTACAGATGATGTTTGTTTATTAGCATGTTTATCTGCGATGGAAAACGACGTCACTTCAGGGCAAGTAGTCACGGCGAGATAACCTCTCATTTACCAAACATGGACCACCGATTCAACTTTTTCTTAGATTTTCCTATAAAAACAGTTACTTGTGCTTATGCCATTCTGACAATATACCGTGCAAATGGTCTATACGTAGCCTAAAATCACTGTCAACATGATTCGCCATGTTTCAATCGAATATAGTAATTTCTCAGATCATGTCATTGTCGCGTTCCTGAACAATATTAAGATTAATTTGTTCGTAGAACTTGAAAAGAGAAGGTTCTATTCCTGAAAGAAGTATTCTTTGGTGTAATATTGCTGATCATTAGTTTCGCTGTAAATATAAAGAAAAAATTGAAGGAAATTAACCAAGAGCAAAATGAATGCATACGTTGAGGAATTTGTGACAGTCTTTGATCTGGTGACGAATGACACAAGTTTCAAATTCGTCAGCGATTTTTACCACTAGCATTCCGATGGCCTTCCCAGTAAGTGTTGTTTTAGCTGATCTTTGCAAGGATTACTTAGAGGTAAAGTTCCTAGTGAAAGCACGCCAGAATTCCAGCCACTGTCATGCGTCCGATTCGCTGACATTTTCTTATCATTCCAACGAAACGTGGACGAGCTGAAAAGTCTATAAATCTTCGTCGATTGCATGAATAAGCAAGATGCAGGTAACCGAATACGTTTAGCCATTGTTGCTGAGTCGAACAACTCCTTATCTTTTTTGTACGTGCTCGTGAAAGGACACCTTCGCTGGAATTTGAGGTTTCGGTCGATGGGAAACCAGCCCACTTCAATCGGTATTTGCACGCGGCGTCATGTGTTCGCTGCAACGTTGTAAAGAATATTCGTTTATGAGTCCAGAAAACATGTACCATCACTTCTGGCCTGGACGGGGAAATTCAACATCTATACTAGACGTTTCTGAAGAATGGTTACCAAAGGAGGATACTTGATAGAGAACTTTCGCACCTCAGCTTGAAGTGAATGATGTCTTGTCCATGTAGACCAGCGGTAGTTTACCGTTCATACCTCGTGTATCTCAAGGTATCAGGAGACACTTAGTAACATGGGGTTACAACAAGACTTACAGAACATTGGCAATTTTTTATTCCAGAAATACATGTCAACGAACCCGGAAGAAACATTAAATGTCGTGTACGGAGTCCATGCGAAGATTGGCAATGTGCACATTGGCAAGACTTACCGGAAGTTGAACATCTGTGGTCCGCCTTTGACAAGCGGTCAATTCTGGTACTGCCCAGAATGCCATCGCCGAAGGGCACTTTTTCAGGCTGGCCAATGTGTTTGTTATCGACGAAGACCATTCTAAAGTAGGTCTACTGATAAAGTAGTCCTGGCATATACTTGCTTAAAGGTACCGGATTTGCCATGAGTACACACCATCCGTGGTTATTAGTGAAAGCTGCGGGCGCACTCACTATTTTGATCCGCAAAATTGGGTCTATATAACTAAGTTCCGATTGGACATTTCTGTTAACTTTGCATTGCGTTTGTTAACGTTCTGGTCTAGCAGTAAAGCAGCGCTTTGTTTGTAAAAACTATGTCAATCGGGAAACAATTGCAGTGTTCGCTTGTTGGGTATAAGTGCCTTCAAACATTCATTTGTGTCCTGCCCTGATTAGCTAAGGTGTATGAAGCAAGACGCGTTGGCAATGAAGCTTTCACTGCTGTGTTTGGTACCCTGAACGATGAGTCTTTCAACCACCTGTCTGTCAATGTCCATAGCTGTAATGTTGCTAAAATGTTAGTGTTATTCTCTCGTCGTATTGTAACATTTTATTGCATGAATGAACAAGTCTAAGTGAAGCTACGCTCCTTAATCTTCTGTTTTTTCTTCAACATACTCATAACAGTATTCTGTGACATCCTGCTAAAACAACTTTGACACACTGGCCAAACTTTAAACTTTCATACTGCCAGTTTCGATATACCAGTCATGCAGATATTCGTAAAAGTTTGAGAAACTTCAGTTGCAATCGATTTCTTTCTCCTGGATGAATTAAGGATTAGAGTATGGGAAGGATGAAGCGAATGTGCAATTGAGCCACTTTCCATAGCGCTACTTACCGGTATATGTTTTTGCTACGATTATAAATCTGGCGAAATAAGGGCATGAAGTAGGGAAATGTTAATGTCGATATCCTTAACGCTGCGAAGGGATTCCCTTTCTGCTGTCTTTTGCAATAAGTGCTCGTATGTGAACCAGAGGACGGTCCGTCGAGAGTGGTTTGACATATTGTACTTATTTTGCAAGTCTAATAATGCGCCCAGTCATTTGGTTTTTATTACTTGTCCGCACTACTTAACTGTGTTAAGGCACGTATGTTCAGGTAACGGGCGATTCGTTTTGCCATAGGCTGCGCGTCTGACCGTTTTTTACCTCAGCTTTTGAACAGACACAGCGAGGCGAGCTTTGGGCGTTTTTTGTAACTGCCGCCTTATTTGTGGTGCTTCATGTAAGGTCTGAGGTAATGTATAATTTGTCGTTTCAAAAATGTAAATAGTCAGCGCTTCCGTCAAGCACTGGTTTCGCTGTATATCCATATCCACCTGCATCCGTGGTTGTTTGAATCGTCGCTCGGTCGGTTGATGGACTGATTTATAGGTATCAGACGACGATCGGTCAGTGTATTTGTTTCCGTGCGTTTTACTTCATTCAGCTCTATGCGTCTTAACGTTCGTCGAATGGAACGTCGTAATTTGAACTCAATATCGACTGCAGAGGGTCGGCTCGGCAGGCATCGTTGGCCTTACACGTCGTCCGACGTCCTAAACAGCCCCGATGCGCGCCAGTTTCTCAGTAAGTGCATTATTGTGTTTGATTTCGTATGTTGAGTCGAATGCCGCTGCACAGTTGTATGATACGGTTTTACAATCACAACTCTATTAATCGGTTTGTGTATTATGATTGCATCGCACTGGATGGCTAGAGCCACTGAAAGCTTCAGTATTTTACCATGAAAGCTTCACTGTCACTGTGTTTTACCATCGTCATGGATCCATTTCATTGTCAGCTCAGTGGCTGCATGAGTACTTTGTTCATCACCAACGGCGTTACATGAGCGGTAGCATTTCTGGCTTAAGTTTCTGTTTCTAGACTTTGATAAAGAAAAGACAGAGTGACCAAGTCGGATATATTAATGCCCATCCGTTCTCGCGAAATTACCATATTTTTCCATCGATACCGTGCGCCTTATCAATGCGAAAAGTCCAGTCAGCTTTCAAAACAAGGTTCCGCGTTATGCAATGAGAAATGAAAAATGTCACAATTATTAGAATTTCCCTATGTAATTTCAAACTGCATTTATTGTGAAAATAAATTGGTCTGAAACAATATACATATTGCAATGTCAGTGAATATAAGGGTTAATATAACAGAATAGGATAAATATAAAACATGAAACATAAAATAATATTTGTTGTACATATGTATTACAGTCAGGTCACTGAAAACCATAAATTCTTCATCTCAGTCAATATAAAATGAACGAAGAACATTTACAATTTCTTCAGGTACATCATTCAGTTTGTTTTCTGAAATTGATCCTTCGTCATCTTCTGTTTCTGGTGTTATAGAATCTAGTACATCTCCTAATGCTTTTAAAAAACTGTTTTCACACAAGACACCACAACACGTTGCCAACTTACAAGGATCCACCTTCACATTTTTTCATGTGACACCCTTTTAATCTTTCCTGATTTGCTACTTACTACATTCATTATTTACTTATTTAATTCCCGTCATTGTCCACTTCTCCCATCTGGAACGCAAACTTGACTTAAACGATTTGCTAAAAGATAAATCAAATGGCTAAATCTTTTTTGTTAATCCACCCCAAATAGCTGCCAATTTTGAATACTTGCCTACTAACCCAATCACATCATCAGTAATGTGCGGACGGCAAGAGTCCATTATTAATAATGATTTTGGATTGAAAAAGGTGTTTTCTTTTTCCCTAATCATTTTCAACCCACACTTTGATTATTTTTTGATTAACCCGTCCTCCTTTTTTCTTCGCAACAATCAAAATGACTTTTGGAAAGTTTCCTTTAGGCACTGTTTTTCTCTTAAATACAACCAAGGGTGGAAGCTTCCCACCATCGGAAGTCACATTTAACACCACAGTAAAATTCGACTTCTCATGTCCGATTGTTGCTATGGAAACATTTTTCGATCCTTTTATATTAACGTCTTTGAACCAGGTAAATCAAAGCTAACGGGCACTTCCGTCCATATTGCCAAAATATGCAGGGTCCACATCACACAAATTTTCTTTAACGAAAAGTATAAATTTCTCTTCTTTCGTTTCTCAGCCATCGAGCAGCTTTTGGCCAATACTCGAAGATGAACGAACGCACAATTGTTTTTTTCTTCATAAATCCATGATGGGTGAGCTTTAAAATTTTTTATGTTGTCATCTTCAGCAACCACCTTTGCCCTCAACAAAATACTGGTTATTAACACCATATACCCTTTCGATCTCTCTAAAAGAGCCCAAACGAGAAGTGTTTTATTCGAGCGCTGGCAAGAAGCATCTACTGTATCTCACTGCACGTTTCTTCTGGTGTAAACATTTTAGGACTGCTTTTTCTTTCCTCCATTTCCGTACACTGGACTCTCCAACGTTAAATTTCTTGGCTACCTCACGATTTCCACGTTCTTTCGCAAAATTAACGGCTTCCAACTTAAACATCGTTGCATCAGATTTTCTCCGCACAGTATTTTTTTTCTCAATGGATAATTTTCAAATTTAAAAACTAAATATTTTCAGAATACACGTGTTCAAGTGCCAGAAGCAATATGGTGACTCGTTAACTCTTCTGTTCGTTTGTCTTAGACACAGCCACAGCCAATTATATTATTCCGTTGTTCATTTGTCTGAAAACTTTTGACTTTTTCCAAACAAGAAATAGACTACACGCTATCTATACATTTTCATGAGCATTACATATTACCAGGAGCGCGGTATCTACACGAAGAAACGTACAAAGTGTGCGTTATCGATGGCAAAACACGGTGGTTGTCTTCTGACGCCCATTTTTACTTCACCTTCGTCATGCCAATGTAGTAGCTGGGACAGGCACTACAATACTCAAGTACCATGGATACTTGGCCTGTGCAACTGGCCTTTCTAGGCAACTAGGAGCGACGGGTTTGGTCGCGAAATTTAGTCTTGGAGCACTGCTAAGGTAGTCACGACATGATCTTTATAACCAGCTATATTTTTACTACTGTTTCAACTATATTCTCGTTCTAAAAGAAATCTTCCGACGTTCTGCTTTTTTAATTATATCCTTTATGATTTTCAAGCAAGGTAACTTTAAAATGTGTTGCAGGTTAAATCGATAGTGCATTACGTCTGTGGTCAAGCTAACTAACCAAATTTCAAGATCTCTGAGAGATGGTTTAGTCAAATAATAGAACTCTGAAAATGATTTATGAAATTATTCTTCAAAAATATTTACGCAAGACGACAGCAGCTTTCAAGAGATCTTACAGCGCTGCAGTGGCAGGCAGTTACTCACCTGCGCAGGACTCAGAATATTTTATAACTGAGGAAAGAACTGCTATTCCATATTTTAAGCGTCAGTTCGAATGTAATTTCTTACGATGTACCTCGAAGCAAAACTATATTCCTTTATGTCAGCCGCATATATCAAAGGCAAAATTTTTGAGCCGGATTTTTTTTCATGTGTGAACGTTATCTTTCAGTCAAAATTGTGCTCTTTCAAAACATTCTTCTGGTTATATATACGGAAGTCTTGTCAGCGTATTTCAAGTAACGAAGCGGATTAACGGAGCTGGAACATGCTAAAAGGAAACTTTCAAATTATTAATGCAAATTTCCGCCTTCGACACTTCCGACGGCGATTTTCTTGAAATTTCATGGGTTTGCTTTAAATTATTCTTGAGGCATAGTCTACTGATTCTTTGACTGGTGATATTAAAATTAGTCATCATGGTCATCAGATTTTGTCGATCCACTGCTGGATTGAGGAATCTCCAAGATCTCGTCTTGGACTTCTATTTTTTGCCATTATTTTCCTTCTTGATCCAGCGACCTTCTCTCATCCTGCCGTAGATCTGGAGGTCTTCGTATGGGTCGTTTACTTTTAGAAGTCAGTCTAGTGTCTCTCTGGTCCAGTGATGGCCGTTTCTTCTTGCAAAGTTTCCTGCTTATTGTCACTTTAACTTCTAAACTAGGGCAGTGACATTACAGACTCTTGGTTGTGCACTTACCCATTCATTCGTTTTCCTATCTCTCCTCATTATTCTCAACGTACATCTTTATACGCTGCGTTGCATATTCTGCAGTTTATGAATAACATTCAAACTTTTGATTCATGTTTCTTATCAACAGGTTACGGGAATAAACACTGATTGAATATTTTCCGTTTCAAGTGCAAGGGCAATTTCCGGGATATGAACATTTTCACGCTTGAAAATTGTTCCATGCCATTTTTATTATTCTGTTGATTTTCCGTGGTTGGTTCTCAGTTGAACAGATGAGCTGTCTCAGATGGACATGGTTTCACAGTTTTTCGGCAGTGAGTTAACTGACCTCAATATTTCGTGCGATGACGTTTTTATTAAAAATGACTCGTCTTGTTCATGCACGTTTTCAGTCCTACTTTGATTCTGGCGTTATTGTGCTCTTGGATTATTCTTCGTAGTGGTAACTTGAAGATTATAGTGTCGTACGCAAACCGCAGGAGGCTTAAACAGTGTCCATTTCTGTTCATCCTCTGATTTTCCCAACGGATTCTCTTCGAAACCTGTTCCAGGGCTGTGAGTAACTTTGCTGATATTGCACCTCTGTCGAACAATTTTTAAATTTCGTTCTTACTTGAACTTTCTATTCTTGTAAACGATGCCGATGAGGTCCCTGTGTATTTTCTCGATTCCTGGCTCCGCAGGGAAACCCGTGTTGTATTGACGTAAAACTGAGTCAGGGGCCTTCTCGAAATTGACGAACTCTAGGCATTAGAAAAGGCTGATATTCGTTGCTTGTCTGAATTACCTTTTGCATCACCTGAAGATGGTTCATGCTAATGATTGCACTTCCGAATCCTGCTTGCTTCCTTGCAACTTTGCTTTAAGTCTATTCGTTGTTACCTTCGTGAAGATCTTGTAGATGATTGATAACAAACTTACTGGTTCTTCGAATCCTCATTATCTCCCGTTTTGGAACAGAATTATTCATTCAGTAGTTCAAATTCTGGAATTCTCAGTTCCTTCAAATTGCGCGAAAACAACGCTACAATATCTTGGTCAATGCTTCACTTTCTAATTCCCCGAGTTCATCTGTAATGCCGCCTCTGCTTCCTCGCT